GGGACACCTCCTGGGGCTGCGAGGGGTGACGAGGGGCTGAGGGACACCTCCTGGGGCTGCGAGGGGTGACGAGGGGCTGAGGGACACCTCCTGGGGCTGCGAGGGGTGACGAGGGGCTGAGGGACACCTCCTGGGGCTGCGAGGGGTGACGAGGGGCTGAGGGACACCTCCTGGGGCTGTGAGGGGTGACGAGGGGCTGAGGGACACCTCCTGGGGCTGCGAGGGGTGACGAGGGGCTGAAGGACATCTCCTGGGGCTGCGAGGGGTGATGAGGGGCTGAGGGACACCTCCTGGGGCTGCGAGGGGCAATGAGGGACTGCAGGGCCAGCGCAGGGAACGTCACTGGGAGTGGGACACTGGCCCGAGCCCCAGCGAGGCGCTGGGCGTAGGTGGGATGTTTTGCTCTGACAGTTCCCTTCGGTCTCTTCCCACTGCAATTAAAACCTCATGGCTGGATCCCTGGCCCGAGCGTGGCTGGCCCCTCATCTCCAAGCCCATGGGGCCACTTCCCCGTCCCTGCTGTGCCCAGGGCGCTGCCAGCGCAGCAGGGGCCTTGTTTTCAGCCATCGCCTCTCCCCCTCGCCCCCCGTGGGGTTTTACACCCCGTAATTGCTGTGGGAAAGCAGAGGTACGGGGAGAAGCCTGGCCTCCTGTGTGTGACTCTCACGCCTCCATCCCAGGAAACCCCGCCAGGAATACAGCTTCCAGCTGCAACCCCCCAACTGCACAGACACGCAGCAGGCAACAACCCCACACAATTAACAGTAAAGCATTTTAATTCCGCTCGGTGACAGCGTTATTGTCTTCACGGGCCGGGAGGCTGAAGTGGGCAGCCAGCTCCAGGAGCCGCAGCCACCGCGGCGGGACGGACCCCGGCTCCCCGCGGAGGAGGAGGCCGTCCCTGCTGTCCCCAGGGCTGTGCCCACAGGTACGGGCCGTGCGGGATGGAGCCCATGCTTGGTGCCATCGGTGTGTGCCCCAATGGGCGCCCATGGGCACGAGGGAGTGAGCTCTCGTGGCAGCTGGCAGTGGCAGCCTGAGTTTATTTTGACTGGACTTAGTGGTTTTTGAGAAGTGGGTAGAAATTTTCCTTTAACAGAAACCGAGAAAAAGAAAACAAGCAAGGGAAGGTTGAAAAGAAGGAAAAAAAAAAATAAGCTGGAGTTTTCTGCTTATTGCATCCTGTGCTCCCCGTGCCCCAAGCACAACTTGGGGGTCACCCTGCGCAGTGGTGCCCATGGCAGGGCTGGGTGTTGTGTGGGGCCAGCAGCACTGGGGGGCTCCGGGCAGGTCAGGAAGGGGAAGGTTCCTCAGCAGGACCAGAAGAAGCCTGTGTGCCTGTGGCAGGACCTGGAGAAGCCCCTGGGGCAGGCGTGGGCTCCGAGGGAGGGCCCTGGGGTGGGCAGTTTCTGTGCAGGGTGTGGGGCAGCAGCCCCGGGGAGCTCTGCTGTGGGCAGGAGCTGTGGGCAGCGGTGGCCGGGTGGCTCTGAGAGCTTGGACCTCCTGGAGCTGCCAAAAAGCTTGTTTGTTGGTATAGCAAAGCAGTGATTTCCTCTGCGAGCCTTGCCCTGGCCCTGGCACATGTCGGTTGGCCTTGGGAGGCTGTCAGAGGCTAATGGCCAGAGCCAGGGCCAGGCAGCGGTGGCTGTGACGGTGCAGCCCGTGGCGGGGAGCGGGCACCCGTGGTGGCTTGACTCAGGTTTTTTTTTTTTTAACTTTTAATCAAAGTGTTAGTGCTGTGTCAGCCTCAGTGGCTCCTGCGAGCCCAGGTGACAGGCAGGCACGTCTCCCAGAGCTGGTCCAAGCCCTTTGGCCATTCTGGGGTCTGGGATGAAATAAGGTGGGCAGAGCCCTCCGGGAGCTGGGCTGGGAACGCCGTGGGAGGGGGATCACCGGGACCACTCCATCCCCAGAGCCCGGCTGCTGCCCCAGCATCGCACCGGCACAGGAACCTGCTTTACGGTTACTGAATTTGTTTTCAACCAGAGAGGTTTCTTTTTTTATTTCTTCCCTTTCGTGCGTACTAAAACAAACATCCTCGCTGCCAAACTGACAGCCAAAAACCAGAGTCACCGATGAGAAAATACATGGAAGAGTCGGATGTTGCATAACTGGGGAGGGGCTGGAGCCAAACCCCCGTGAACGGTGTCTGCGGGCTGCCCAGGAGGGAGGCAGGACTCTGCCTGGCTGGGGGTGCTGTCAGCCCCGGTTTCCCAGTGACAAACCAGTTGAAGGAGCACCCAAAGCGCTGACTGAAGCTTATCCAGCCACAAAGCCATGGGAAATGGCTGCTGGAGAGGGGCTAGGGCAGAGGAAGGCGATGGTGATGGGGAAAAGTGGGGGGCCGGGGTGCATGAGCACCAGGGGCACCCGGCAGCATCCACACCTCTCTTGAAAGTCAGTCCCCTCTGTGATGGGGAGGGGTAACTGCAGCCCCTTCCATGAGGAAGCAGAGATGCTCCCTCAGGGGCTTGGCCGTGCCTCGTGTCCCTGGCCCCTGCTCCCCGTGTCACTGGCCCCCGCTGCAGCTGCATCGCTCCCGTCCAGGCTCCGCCACCAGCAAAGCAGGGGAGGACCCAGCCTCTGCAAGGACCACATGAGCAAAGAGCCTGGCTGTAGCCAAGACGCTTAGACTAAAGCTAATGAAAACCTTCCTGAGCCTTTTAAATCCAATGTTCCGTCCTCAAGGAGTGTGATCTCTCCCCTCGGCAGCGAGCGGCTCACTGAGCCCCTGCACTTCTGAATCAGCGCAGGCAGAGCCTTAGAGAACACAGCCCTGGGAACAGTTTGGCATTGGCAAAGGGACAAACGGGATGAATCCTCGGAGAGCTCTTTCACAGCTTAGCATTTGTGATTCACTGTTGAGATAAAATGTGTTCTGCAATTACACACCGCTCTTTGAGGCGTTCAGCTGCAGCACGTCTGAGCAGCACAACCAGCATAAGGCTCTTTTCTGCATTAGAAGTGGTTCAGTTCTAGTCTGTGAGGAAATTAGTGTCCATGTAGTAATGAATGACTCCTCCTCCGAGGGCAGAGAGGAGCAGTGGCTGCTCTGTCCCACCTGAGGCCAGTATCTCAGTAATGCTGCCCTCCCAGCTGGGTCCCAAAGCAGATTTACCACCTCTTGGTGCCCTGCAAGATGCTGAAGGATCTGTGCAGAAGCCAAGGACAAACCTCTCCTTGACCCTGCCAGAGCCAGGATTTCACCCACGGCCAGTTCCTCCTACAGAGCTCTCCCGAAAAGGGCAGAACAATGAAAAAAAAGCACTGCACATGGTGAGCTGTTATCCTCAGCAATTCCCACAGCCGTTTTATTGCCTGAAGGAGGAAGAACGTGAACCCTGGAGGGAAGAACTTGCCAAAGTATTTAACATTTCTACATCTTGCATGGAGCTAAAGGTTCCCAAAAATCTTTAAAAATAACTGCAGAGATGTTTATTCAAGGCCTAAGGCTAGGCTGAGTAGAGTTTGGGATGTGGCTTTCGGGGGGAGGCAGCAGAGGGGAAGGAGCACCAGCCTGGGCTCGGGGTTCAGGGGCTGCAGTGGCCGGTCCAGGTGCTTCCCATTGAAACCACCTTTTTGATAGAAGGCCTGGGAGCCACTCGGTGGCTGGTGCTGCCGAACTCGGGGAGGGGGAGCTGAGGGGGTTAGATGTTCTTCTGGGGAGGGGGAGCTGAGGGGGTCAGATGTTCTTCTGACCACTCCTGCTCGTGCTCCCGGGTCCTGCCTCCCCGAGGCTGGGGAACAGCCGTGAGATGTGCTGCTGAGCTGGTGCTGCCCGTGGCACACTGTCGGGGGACCCCAAACCAGGGCACAAACCGGGGCAAATAGCCACTTTTTTGTTTTCTTTTTTTCCTAGAAATGGTTTGATAATACTTTAAAATAATCCTCCTGGAAGAAAAAAGATAAAGTTCTTGGTGGTTGTTTCAACTGTCGAGTAACAGAAGTGCAGCCCCCCCGAAGGCAGCGGTGCTGGCAGATGCCGGGGGCTGTTTGCCCGTGACCGGCACCCCCGGTACCCCCCCGGTTTCCCCCCGGCTCCCGCAGCCCCCGCAGCGCAGTGCTGGGCTGGGGGCGCGTTTCTCGCTCCCGCCCGACGCTCCCTCCAGCCTCCGCAGCCAAAAAGAGCCTTTTTCCTGCTGCCGCGGCCGCCCGAGCTCCTCTCCGGGCTCTCGCTGCCGAACCGGAGCGTTACCCCGGGAAACCCGCATCTCGCCCCGCACCGGCCCGGCCCTTCCCCGCTCCGAGAGGCCCGGCCGGAGGCTGCGGACCCCCGGGGGCCGGGGCCGGGCTTCGGAAGAGGTGAGCCCGCCCTGGGGGCTCTCCCACCCTCCGCGCCCACCCGGGGTCTGCCCAGCGCGGGACGGGGAGCGGGGGGGCTGCGGGCGAGGGAGGGCCGCTCGCCAGCCAGGTGTCGCGGTCCGTACGGTACCGGCGCCGCCAGCCCCCGCCCGTCACCGCGGGACCGGCCGGCGGCCCCCGGTCTGCCGCTCCCTCTCGCGG